GTAATAACATGTTTTAACAAAAACTCAGCGGTAAAGTACTGGAGTTGATTGTGGATGAAAGCCTTGGATGGGAACAACAGATGAATGCAATGATTTCGGTGTCGTGCGGACTGAGGAAGTAGTGTTGGTTCATAAGTACTGAAAGATTTCACCAAATCTTGCATTCTATCGCTTTTCCCCTGTTCTGCCCCCTGCACCGCAATAATTATGAAGACGCCGTAGAAAACAACTGGCACACATCCGGAACCTTTCGAAACTACTTGAACGACTCTGTAACTGCGGTGCTGAAGAGTTTCGGGTCATCCCAACCAGAAGCTTTATTAAATACCACTTAGCAGTTCTATTCTAGCCGACCCAATTTACACACTGTGCCAATGCTCCAAACAGTGCCTTTCGAAGCTGAAAAGCAAAAAATCCATGTAATTTCCTGCAGTTACTGGACTGAGGCTCCCGACGGTCAATCCACCTTTCTTCGATTCCAAGAACGAAAAACTGTCATTTTGGAACAGACTCTGATCAGGCCGATATGGATTTACTTTAACTTCTGGTTTTGTTGTTTAGTATTTGTTCATTGTTATAGCGACTTTTCGTGTGCCTCAGGATTCGCTTAAGTAAATTTTACTGGCTGTACATCGACACTCAAACCATTTTGCCATACGGATCGAAATGACATATATATTTTGAAATCTACGTCAACAACATGACGTCATTTACTTTACAACATCCGCCAGAATCATGCATTAGGTTTAAAGTGGAAATACTAACCAGAACGCCAAAGTATGATTTACCTAACGTGCAGCTGTGCGACAGAAAACTGAACAGAGTGGAGTGTCTAAGAAGTAGGAAAAGGTCTTGTTGCCAAATTCCTACAGAAATAACTCTCATGGGCCAGCAATTAGCAATCGGTTACAGTTGTTTTTATAATCTCAGATTTCATAATGTCTAAACAAAGCTTGAACATAGTTGTCCAGTTTATGTTTGTAAAAGTCGTTGTATAAATTCACAGCTGAATCTACATCATCAAGTTCGACATCTGTTACTGCCACAGGAGGTATTATGAACGTCTGGTAAGATACAGAAGCTAAGTTGGAGCGTCTGTGGCCTACTTGTGGATAGCGCAATGTAACAATATTTTTGCCTGGGAGTAGAAGTTACTTTAGAGAACACTGTGATACGAGTGTTGAGATTTTAACGGTAGGCCAGCATAATATCTGACGCAAGTTACTTTGTTCGTAAATGCTAAATGGCATAAAAGTTAAGCGCCTTCGTAAAAATGACAGCAAACCACTCGATAGCCCGTGAACGGCGAGTTAGTCCAACTTATCCGCCGTGTTCTTTCTAAGCACTATCCTCGTTCCACTTTCTAAGTCCTGAATCAGTTCGAAAAAGCAGCTGTCATACAGGCAAAAGTTGTGGTTGTAATCGTCATCTGAGGTATCAGGGTCAAAGACAGAGTACCCAGACTAATCATAACCGACTCTTTGGCTTCTGAGAATGATTTAAACGATGTTGGTTGCTGTGGCAAAGGTCATGTTCCTCATCGAGAGCAAGTCCGATTCTAGCAGCTACTTTAGGGTGCGATGTTGGCCTCTAACGCGGCTGCGGCCATTTTTTCTTCCCAGGAGAAGCCTCCATTCTCTTCCAAAAGGTTCCGTCAAACCACGACAGAGGCCGAATTCTTGCAGCAGCATTCTTAGGCTCACTGTCTCCAAGATCTTTTCATTCTTTATTCGATGGAACTATCGCAGTTTCAGACTGTTTCGCAGGCAGCGCTACAGAAAAGTGGTTTCATAGCGTCTTAAAAAAGTTGGTTTCAAGTTTACGTCAGAATGAGGATCGAGAAACGGCGGCTTTCAGTACGATAATATTTGTTGTTGTCCAGAGAGACTGGTCTTATTAAACTTTAAAAAAATCGCCTTTAGTTTACAGACGTCCGTCTGAAGCGCCGCCATACTTTCGTATCGCAGCTTGCCAGTACAGAACCGAGGTACCGAGGTAAGTTTTCGACCCTCTCTATGGTTCTTCTACTTCACTGAATTCTTGGGTCACTAGTCGAGTCGGGTGTTCGCAAGATCTTCGTTTTGATGGGATGAACTTCTAGACCAAACGTCGACGCCACTTTGTACACGGTGCGCGCAATTTATGGTTCATATCCATTATGATAACCGTGAAGTTC